AGTGCATGTCTTGGACCAAATGCAAGGCTTCCTGTACTTCGATGGGCGCCTCATCCTATCGATGGTTTCACGACAAGTGCTGTCAGTGTGTCGGCGCTTATTGTCTTAATTACGGCATCAATGACTCCAAATGTCTTCAGTGTCCGCTCACTCAAGAAGACGACATCTATGAACACGAGTCCACTGGCGATGACTACGACTTTGAGGACAACACAGACGCCGATGCGGTTGAAGAGGAAGACAAGACTCAGAAAGAGACGAAACCCGAGAAAAGTGTGAAAAGTGAGAAACAGTCGACAGAATCGCCCGACAAGAAGGCCACCGAAGACATCAAAAAGAGTGATACGGAAAGTGATGGCAATACTAATTGAATACATTTGCCTTTTGCTCACAAATCATAATTCAGTGCCAAATGGTGTGTCAAAAGAAAAGACAATTTTTGTTTTATTCAGTATTTTTGCATTCATTATAGAATCTCTTGAATACCTAAATGCAATTTAAATGCAAATTATTTTGCTGTTCAATCAGTTGTTGAATAATATTGTTTTTGTTAACTATATACTTATATTGATTTTATAATTTATACAAATTTTATAAATAATGTGTTTGAATAATTTAATACTTAAATCAAATGCTACTAAATATTTATCAAAATATATTGATTTATGAATGCATTTGCAATGTGTACATCACCTCTGATAACATGTTATAATAAAAATTAATATAAAAAATGTTTAAACCTCTAAATAATTTTCATTTAATAACTGCACACACTTTATGTGAATAATCATTTCGTTTTTAAAAAATGTATCATACAGTTGATTGACATAATAGAGATAACTATGAGCATAATACATTTATTATATTTTCTACAATAAATATAACAAACTAGCACAACTGGGTAATACATTTTCTGGTGATTCTTACCTGGTGACTTCTGTAACCTTCATATGAATACTGTACACTAATGGTATATTACAGTAGTACATACTATGTACAGTACTGAATGTGATCCCTAACCCTTTAGCCTAAAGGCTAACATTGAGGAGAATACACACATTAGTACACATCGACGGCGGGTGCAGTGGTTAAGGAGTTTGGGTCGTAGGGCCTGAGGATGCCTTTTGCTCCCTTCCCACCCATTAGTGATTTGCTTTTTTATTTATGAAAGGGATATTATTTTAGAAATTATAACAATCTACAATTCATTATAGAATATACAATAATAGTTGTTACATTGTATAAACTCTATAATTTTAAAATTGAAAATAAAATGTACATTGATTATTGTGAACTCCTAATATAAACATTATTATGAAATGTCAGATTTATGTCCTAAAATTGCCCTTATAATCACACATTTCATATAATGTAATAAAATGCAATTTTGATAAACTAATCACAAAATGCCCTCAAAATGATACTCATATAAGCCTTTAATAAACTGTTTCTTTGATTAAAAGTCTTTATCATTACGTCTGAAGACTAACACACTTTTGCTATAAATACAGATTTCAAGCAACAGCTAAACATTAGTTGAAAATTTGTGAATAACTATAACTTTATTTGCAAACAATATTCGTGTGAATCAGTGACACAATGAGCGCAAAGAAGGCAATCACCACAGAGTTGGCGCCCCAACCGATCGGCACCTTTTCGCAGGCCATCCGACACGGAAACACAGTGTATCTGTCGGGTCAGGTGGGATGGGATGTGAAGACTAGCCGATTGGTGACCGACTCGTTTGAGGCACAGTTGGAACAGTTGCTGAAGAATGTCAAGAGTGTGACCGAGGCTTCCGGGGGTTCACTCGAAGACATCGTTAAACTCAACCTTTTTATTCTCGACTACAAGAACTTTCCGATAATTAATAAAGTGTTTGAAAAGTTTTTCACAAAACCATACCCGGCCCGCAGTTGTATCGGGGTATCCAGTCTCCCATTGGGCGCAGACATCGAAGTTGAAGGCATTTTGCAATTGTCTCACAAATAGTTTATCTTAAATGTTATTATATTTAATCTTATTATGTATTTTACATTTTATTTAAATATAAAAAATCTCTATTTTATGATACATTTTGCTAAATAAATATGAGTTTAAAATTAGCACTTATTTTGTTAATCCTGGTAATTTACTAAAAATATAGTAAAATAATGAGTGATACAAGTTGTGGTCAAATAATATGAGTCTCGTTGAGCGAGACTTTAAGTTCAAAGTTAAGTGTTTGCCAATTGCAGAAGGAATGGTATGTGTGAAAACAGGCCACTATTATAATGCCACCAAACGTTAGGCCGAATATAACGGCCGGAATCAGTAGCGCCAACCGAAAGTGATCACCAATTAGTCCATCAGATATGATGTAATCAAATATAGCCAGATATAGGATATACATGATAAAGAAGAAGCCATAGATGAAACATATGATAAATGAGGCCTCATTTGTGTGTCTAATCCACGAGAAAAAACTTTTACCAACTCGTCGTATTGAAATGCCTTTTCAAGTGAACAGTCATTTATTAATGAGAGATTTGCACAGAATTAATGCATTTATAAGTTATGCAAGTTTGTTAAGTATATAATGAGATATACCCTCAAATTTATTCAAACATACGGAACACTCCTCACTATTACTGATGACAATCCATTTGGACAGACACTTGAAGTGGACATAGGCTGATGTGCCACTGCATAGACACGGCTGTATCAATGGAGTTGTAGTTAGGAAACAAAATCGGCACATATTTTTGTATTCAGTCGACATTATTTAAAATAATTCACTTTGTAATCAACTCAGACACAAGATATTAACAAAATTAATTTTTTATCAGATTAATGAGATTAACAGTCAAAATAACATATGCAACATATTTATCAAAATACTTTCCAATTCACAGATTCTGAATAAAGGATTAATTCAATGAAATAAAAAGTATATTCTTTGTGCGAAATATGTATGGATTTGAATATAAATAAAATGAGTTATTCATGGAGTGAGAGGAGTAATGCTCTGTTGAGTATTTGCAAAAATAAATACAAATATCATAAATATAATGACATTTTGGAAACGTCTCACTTCCCGGATGACATTATCACTAATATTTCGGTTTCATATTTTAATTGTTTATTAAAAGTATTGAAAATTTCCAGTTTTTCATACTCATCTTTAAATTAGGGCACAATTAGTACTTTAAATCATTAAATAAAGTAATGTGTTATTTATAAATAATTGCGAGCAGATTACAAAACACTTTTTAGATATAGAACTTTAGATAATTAATAAACTACAAAAATAAAACATTAATTTTGTTAAACTTGGCGCAAATTATGAAACACATGTTAATTTATTCACAGTATATAGTAGTATAGAATATAGTCACAAATATTCACATATTTGAATAAATATTTATCATTTTCATCATCATTTAAAATAACTGATTATGTAATATTCTACATGACAGTACATTTCTAAATTCATATACCTGAATAATAAAGTAATTTATATCCAAACAAATACATGTATAATATATCCCATTGATCAGACATTTAATTTAACAGATGCTAAACGAATAAATAATAAAAACCCCAATTTACATGACAAATACCCATTGTTTCTCCATTTGTTCATATAATTCAATGCAAACAGTATTTAGATATCAAATTGCATCAAGATTTCGACTAAATCAGAGTATTTTAATATTGGTTTTGTAATAATTACATTTGGAAATGCATTTGAATTTGCAAATAATCGTTTTGATGACAATATTTGGTACAATCTATGGCATAGTGTGTCCCACCGATTACTGTCAGAGTGTGGACTGCGCTAATAATGTCACTCAAACTTCATGTGAGAACCAGAATGGCATTTACACTGCCCAGGGCACTTTTTGTGGCTGTTGTCCTGCATGTCTCACCAAATTAGGTGCTGGTTCAATTTTTAAATTCATGATTTAATTTTCAAATTTGTTTTTATAGAAGAGGGACAGAGTTGTCGAGTATTAGCCCTGAGAGGTGTGCCCCCGACATCCCAATGTGCTCCGGGTCTCAAATGTGATACCACTTCAGGAGTTTGTGTTAAGATTTAGTAGATTTACAATATTTACAAAATAAATGTTTGAGTAAATATGTTATAATATTTTAATTAAAATTATAGATTAATAAATGTTAAATATTAAACTTAAATATTTCTCACAAAAAATAGTTGTTTGGGATAATTGAATATTATAAAATCTATTTTATTATTTAATACAAAATTTGCAGTTTTTCATACTCATCTCCAAATTAGAATATAATTAGTATTTTAAATCATTAAATAAAGTAAAATGTTATTTATAAATAATTGCACGCAGATTACAAAACACATTTTAGTTTTACAACATTTGATAATTATTAAATTACATAATAATACAATAATTTTTTAAAATTATGATACACATGTAAAATTCACAATATAAGTAGTGGAGAATATACTGTACTGTAGTCATAAATATTTATCATTCTCATCTACCAGTATATTAAAATAATTGAGTATGGTACATAATTCCATAAATCTAACTGACATATTTATAAATATCTTTTACAATAGAATAATAGAGTAATTTATATCCAGACAAATATATCCTACAAATATATACGTTTAATGTAACAGATGTTAAATTAATACATTTAAAGAACCCAATTTACATGACAGGCACCCATTGTTTAATAATTTATCCAGTATAAATTCAATGCACACATTGCTTAAATATCATTTTATATCAAGATTTTGTCGAAATCAGAATATTTCCATATTGTTTTCGTAACACATTGTCAAATTATATTTGGAAATGCATTTGAATTTGCAAATAATCGTATTGATGGCAATATTTGGCACAATCTATGGCATTGTCTGTCCCCCCAATTTCTGTCAGACTGTGAAATGTGCTAATAGTGTCACTCAAACTTCATGTGAGAAACAGAATGGCATTTACACTGCCCATGGCACTTTTTGTGGCTGTTGTCCTGCATGTCTCACCAAATTAGGTACTGGTTCAATTTGTTTATTCATGATTTAATTTTATGTTATTTTCATAGGAGAGGGTCAGAGATGTCTAACGCTGAGAGGTGTTCCCCCGACATCCCAATGTGCTCCGGGTCTCATATGTGGCACTTCAGGAGTTTGCGTTACAAGTTACTAAAAATGTATTTACAAAACCCCTGTTTGATTATATGTTTTAATATTATTATTAAAATGTATTAAATAATAAATAATCGAGATTTTTATTTAAAAAATATTGTAATAGTTTTTTAGGAGTTGAATATTATAACATCTATAATATAGATAGATTCTATATTGTTATGAAACTATGATTAACTTATGATTATAAAGAGAAACAGTAGTTCACGTAATAGAGTCTCCGCATTAAGCTTAGGTATTAGGTTAACAGACTTCGAGAGAAGTTAGTAGCAGAGGGGGTACACTAATGGAGTGCCATTGCGGGCAATCAAGTATCTCTTGAACTGTCACTCCGCAGACATCTCCTTAAGAGTTTAGAGTCTGGAGTCTCTTCTAGAAAATCATCTCTCATTAGGTGAAGTTGGGCTCCTTTCAAATGACCAGGGAAACCTGGCCAATATTATTTATCTATCAAATTAAAATTTAATATTAGAGGGTCAAATGTATAATAATAATATTATAACTTATATATTATGTAGAAAATCTATATTAGGAATTATATTAGGAATAGAGAAAGATTTAAATGCTTTATTCTCGGAATGGTTTGATTCTGAACAAATTAATGCTTTAAAAATAAATGTATTATTCATCAGTTATTTTTGTTAACAAGTGTAAACGGCTATAATTTTTTTCATAATTTATGATCACCCATCAAATGGATATAAACCAGGCCAAACCAATTTATTAACAATTTCCATGTTTGTAATTAATCAATAAATTCTTTATTGTACAACTAGACGCTCAAATGACTTATTTAAACAAATACCTGTCCAATCAAATACAATTGTAATGAAATTAATTAAGTTATTAGATTTCTTTATAAAACTATAATTTACACACAAATCAATTGCAATTATTTTCAAATACACTTATTTACTGTACAATACTTGCATATTGTATTATATATTAGATAATCAATAAATTATTTAATTTATTATTCAATTTCTACTTATAAGTAACTCTTTAACATTGAACTGAATATATAAGTTATATCGATAATAATAATAGTCTATTACCTAAATAATAGTAATAACATTATTACATAAATAATAGTATTAACATTGAAATCTTATCTGTTCTGTTTATAGTGATACAGTAATACATAAAAGTTCATTTTAACTATGCAAATAAAATTTAATGTACCATAATTATTTGATATACTATTTTATTTTTATACAGTATCTCTAATATAATCCTTTTGTTGTAAATAGCTTTTAAATAATTTATTTTATGAAAATCGTCTACGATAATTAAATAAATACTATGAATGAATGTATCAAATTAATTAATTTATTTACCTGCTCAAATCAGGGAATTATTAAGTTATATAAATAGATTCTATTAAATTGACTTTAAAATACAAGAATACAGTAACAAAAATAATTTTAATTATTTTGTTAATTTAAATTAAGTCATAATAATTATAATATAATGTTTATTATAATAAAATAGCACAAAAATATATTATATTAAAAATGAATAGTAAATTTATTTTTAGACAAGACTTTTAAAATATATAAATGATAGTTTGAAATATTTTCTAAATAAAAAACAAAATCATATTCACTTAATTTTACAATTTGAATACTTTAAACATTTGTTTGAGAATTGATAATTAATGCAAATACAGTAATATTGAAAATGTAAAATATTTTATGAACACAAATATTAATTATACCAAAAGACACATGAAACTAATTATAATTTATTTCCAGTATTTTATTTATATAAGTACATTTAAAATGAAAATGAAACTAATTAAGAAAACATTAACTTGCCAAATTATCAATTAACAATAATTTTAATGTTTTAATTTGAAATTATTTCATTTGATAAAAATTATAAATTATATGTAAAAAAGTCAAATTACCTAAAAGCAAAATTTTGTTAAATAAAAGTATACCTACATTTAATAATTACTTTGTACCGTATGTGTAAAGTTGGAAAATTAAAATTTCTAAATTTAAATATACAAAAGTTTTAATAAATGTGATGAAAGTATTTTAAATGTGTTTTACTGAGTTCAAACAATATCTAAATTAAGTTTATAATTATCTCATCATTATTTTAAGCAATTGCACAGTATATTTAGTTACCGTACTTTTTAAAAGTAAGATTAACTTTAGTTGTTATCATTTTGTTATAAGATTGCTATTGTTATTTTTGCTATAATTATCACATTCTCTAAGCCGTCATCGATAGGTATTCATTGCGATAATTGTAGATAGTCCATATTAATCGCAACCTGTACATTTTAATCTTTTACTATGGTACGTGCTCCAAGTTGTAATATCAATTTCTACAATTTTTACAATGAATACCATCGATAACGCTCAGAGATATTAATATATTCTTAATAATTTTATAATAACATTACAAGCCAATTTATTTGATTAAATCTCCAATATTGTACGTTATATTCAAATTGATTACAATTAAGCATATCTTGAATCTAAAGTTATTCTCTAATCTTTGCTCCAAATTGTTATACTATTTATTATCATTGGTTAATAAATATTCATTCAATCACTTTCAACATTAACTAATGAAAGTGATGCATAAANTTGATTACAATTAAGCATATCTTGAATCTAAAGTTATTCTCTAATCTTTGCTCCAAATTGTTATACTATTTATTATCATTGGTTAATAAATATTCATTCAATCACTTTCAACATTAACTAATGAAAGTGATGCATAAAAATAAATTATGATTACATAGAAAGAATTTATTTTAAGAAACTTTTATTGGAAAACAATCAAAAAGTTTTTAATCAATTGTAAACCAACTCCTAAATTATGGTAAAAAATAAATAAATTGCCAATAATTATAGACATTTGATGTTATTATTAAATATAGAAATATTTTCTAATAATAATAATAACAATAATAGTAATAATAAATAAGAAATTCAATTAGCAATCGATGCGAGAAAAGACACCAAAGTTTGTCAAATGTGACGAAATTAGGGAATTATAATCACTGTAATTGTATTTTATTATACATTTTATGAGACATTTACTTAATAGCCATTGTCTTATATATTATATAAGTGTTGTGTATTGACTTTTATTATCTAATTTATGGATTAAAAATTATAGTTTTTGCAAAATTAATTATTTTCAACTTCAATTCATTTAAATATAACATTTTCAATTATGTCCTAAAAATGTCACACTTTAGGACATGCTCTGCAGTTAATAACAATTCATTTTATGTCACATAATACAAATTGGATCAAAAGTTTTATAAGCAAATATTTACTGGTATTATACACGGCGTTATGCTAAATGAAAAAGGTTTGTGTATTCTCTCATACAATAATTTTAAGGCACTTTTAGCCCTAATTTCATATCTTTGTAATCATCAGCAATGATAATATCCAAACAAAATTTACTGACATTTTTGTGCTTTTCGTTAAATAAATCACAACTACTGACTTATTTCATAAAACAGTCAATGATTTCTACATCAAGATTAACATAAATTTTAATTATTAGTGAAATTTAGACTTAATATGAATTTCTACTTTTTGTTATCAAATAAATTAAGTAATTAATTTATATAAAAAGCGTTTAACCAAAACAAACATGTATAATATACATTATATAAATATACTTTTTAGCAAAATAACAAACAAAATAAGTGGTTCAGGAAATAAACGGATAATTTTTAATGAAGTTTTAATTGAATAAACTTTTAAACTCCGTATAAATCCAATAATAAACACAAATCATTAGTTCGAGTGAATTACACTTTAAGGACATCTTTTTTAAATCAAATTAATTATAAAAGCATTTGTTTGGGCGGAAAGCGGGTCAACACATACGGCATAAGCAATTGTCTCGAAAAAAGTTTTCTAAAACAATGCATAACATGTGTCTCACACTTATGTAACATGATATAATA